CCGCACAGAAAAGTTTCCGAATTGTGTGGCCTCCACACAGTAATTTTGACTGGAAAATTAATACTGGTTGTGATGCATATTCATTGGTTGACAAGAGCAATTTCTTTTCCATAAATTCTTATACGAACTAAACACATCAAATATATTAAACAGGCATTCAATAATTGATTACAGGGTAAAATTTCTTTTACATCTAGTAACTATCTAGTAATTATATAATTAGAATTGAGATTGTTACAACTATTTAGTCTAATCACTAATGACAACTGAGAGGAATAAGGTTCATTAGATTAGAGCTCCAGACTGCGTCATGAAGCTCTAATTCTTTATTTATCTGGGTAAGAGAGCAAGACCTGACATTTTATTCAAGCTAAACTATCTGGTCTAATGAAACCACAACTATCCATTAGGTAAAAATATTTTCTGGCTAATTTTACAATTGTGTGCGATCTATTTCTCTAAAAGTTTCTATTTTTGAAATAAAACAGTTAAAAAATTTTAATTCTGGCCAAAAATTATGTAATGCAGGCCAAATTTTGGTGATCACAGTCGTTAGCCGATTATAATTGAGAATCTACTATAAAAATGGTAAAATTAATTTTACTCGTAATTCAGTAATTCTATCTTTTCAATGCATATGAACAGTGAAAAACACGAGATATAATATATAATTCTCTACCCTAACTTCGAACTAACCAATCGTTATTTTGCACTGTCCGTAGATTCCCCGGTGTTCGTAGACGGTCCAGCCTAGTTCCAGCCGTAGTCTGTACACGTGGGGTGGCATTAGCAAAGTAGGAGTCTCTAAATTTAAGTACAAAATAATAACTTTATTAAATTCTTTTCCAATGGAATGTTATTATCTGAAGCAATTTCAGCTGTATTAACTGAATATTTGAATTCTGATTAATATAACTAATTAATTGACTACTATGAATTGTATTGTCATCGAAATTATAATTCATAGTTTTTTATTGCCACTTCTTTATCAAAATTTAAAGAATCCAGCATTATTTCTCCAGTTCATTATAATTTTATAAAGGTCTAAAGCAGTTGGACTATTTGTTGGTTCATTATCCCAGCATCTTTTCAAAAGATCTATATAATGATGAGGAATACCTTTAGGAATAGTTGGTCTTAATCCGTTACAAATTTCTATTGCCAAGCTTAAATTATTGTGATGAATATTTTCGCGATCAGGATGTACAACATTTCCTGATGAAATTTCCCACATAATCATTCCAAAAGAATAAACGTCTGATGCTTTAGTGAATGGGTTTTCATATAATATTTCAGGTGCAATATATGACAACGCACCATAAATTCTTCCTGATTCTGTGTCTAAAGAATTATCTATTGATTTTGCAAAACCTAAATCCCATTGGCGCGTATTGTATAACTAGAATATAACCATCAGTAATTTCATCTTTTGACACTCCATAACATTGCAAAAATGTTGCATTTTCACTTCCAATATTTAAATATGTATTTAACTTTAAATTTGTGTATTAATAAGTGATAAAATTCATGATAAACTTTGTTATTAAAAATTTGCCTCTTTCGTAAGTTCCTTACAACTTTTTTTTGATCCATGAAATAATTTAAGCGCAACAGTTTCATCAACAATACCGCCTTTTACCGAGTGTGTCCACGTCGCAGAATATACAGTTGCAAAACCTCCTTTTTCTATTTTGGTTATGATTTTTAATTCATTATATAGAATCCATAGTATTAATAATTGATTTTCATAAAAAAATTTTTTAGAAAATTATCAATATCATCATGATCAGAATTAATCACACTTTGATATTTGTTAATTTTTGCTTTTTCCTGATTAGCTAATGTTTCAATGCCATTTCGGTAACATAATCCAAGTTTATATTGCCCTTAGGTAAACCACCCTCAGAAGATTTTAAATACTATTCGAATGCTTTTTTTATTCTTAGCAGTGCCTGTGCCCTCTTCATAACAAAGAACAAATTTATATTGTTCAGCAGAATCACACCTTTAGCAGATTTAAATACCATTAAAATACCTTCTTTTCATCCTTAGTAGTGCCTTCAGAAGATTTTAAATACCAATTAAATGACTTCTTTTCATTAGTAGTGCCTATGCCATATTGATAACAGATTCCAAGATTATGTTGCCCACCAGAATCACCACCTTCAGCAAATTTTAAACACCATACAAATGCCTTCTTTTCATTTTTAGTAGTGACTATGCCATATTGGTAACAGATTCCAAGATTACCCTGCCCACCAGAATCACCACCTTCAGCAGATTTTAAATACCACTCAAATGCCTTCTTTTCATCCTTAGTAGTACCTATGCCATAATGATACCAACATCTAAGATTATATGCCCACGAGAATCACCACCTTCAGCCGACTTTAAGCAACATTTAAATACAGTACCTTTTTTTTCATGCCTATGCCTTCATTATAGCAGAAACCAAGTTACATTGCCCACTAGAATTACCATCTTCAGAGAATTTTAAATACAACTCAAATGGCTTCTTTTCATCCTTAGTAACGCCTTTGCCATAATGATAGCAAGTACCAAGTTCATATTGTTTGCTAGAATCGCCACCTTCAGCAGATTCTAAAAGTATTTCAAATTCGTTCATTTTATCTATAGAATATTCTCACGAGTCATGAACTATTTATAATAATTAAAAGTGTAACAATGCAATAGTCACAAATATATTTAGCGGAGAATTTACGGACAGTGCATAGAGACAGTGCAAAATCACATGATTGGTTAATAGCAATTGAGGATTTTATATTATATTACGTGTTTTTTCACTGTCCATATGTACTATCCGTAGATTCTCCGTGTTGAATCGACTTAACAGGTTGAGTAATTGCCAGATATCTAGATATTAGCAGTAGGGTTGTTAATGGAGTGGCATACTCCAGAGCCACTCCGGAGTGAGCCCAACCCAAGTTGGAGTGGGTTAAAGATATGCCTAAAAATCTGGAGTGAACTGGAGCGGCTCTAAGCAAACCTGGAGTGGCTCCGGAGTGAGCCCAACCCAAGCTGGAGTGGGTCGAGGAGTTGCTTAACCCAACCCAACCCATTAACAACCCTAATTAGCAGGTCTTCTGTGAGTCAAAAATTTTGACCATTTTCGAAGACATGAGGGCGTTGAAAAGCTTCCAACACTTTTACATTTATTAGTTTAATAATATAAAGCATTTTAAATAAAAAGTCTAATTGATATTTTTATGAGCTACAATCAGAGATGGAGCTTTGGTTAGGGCATAAAATTAGGTAACAATTTGGAGAGTTCTAAAAAAAAGTATATATTTTAAATGTATACAAAGTCCTTTTGTTAGTAGTTTTGATCGAGTTATATTAGTTTCAGTTGTTGTTGCTTTAGACAAGTTAGACCTTCAGACAAGATGGGCGTCTTTATAATATTTATCATAAATGAAAAGCTAGTCATTAAATCTATTGTTTTAATACTCTCATCTAATTTATGCTATTTTTTTTTTTGATCTATGTTTTGTAATAATTATTATATATTAAACCTTTTAAATAAATCATATATGTGAAAAAATTTTACTTTGATTTCGTTGATTATTAATTCTCAATGCAGTAGTTTGGAATTTATATAATTTGTTTTTTTAATCCAGTCAATAAATTCTTGATCATGTTGAACTTTTTTATTAGCGCCTAATCGTGTAGTGTAATGATGAAAGCTTATCTTACATTCGGAACATTTTATACGAAACTTAATGTTGAATGTGTTGATATTGTAGTATCTTTAAAAATACTATATGAATTAATATTTTTTTATCGTTATACCAATCACGCCCTAAATCAAAAGTTTATCACTGCCGAATCAAAAACTTATCGAAATAATAAAACGGCTGCAGTGTAAGTCGATTCGGTACGTGTAACATGGATACCGTCTTTATGGAGGTTAGAATTCAAAATAATTTGGCATTATTCGCATTGATGGACTGGATTTTGCTTTTGAATAATCAAACATCCATAAGATATTTAAAATTATTTTTTTGAATTGTAATCGTTTAAAGTAGTTTTTACAGATATCTGTGATCACCGATATATAATAGCATTCGTCCTCAATGAGATCGCTTTTACAGCCCATTTGTTTATAAAGGTCAAATATTTTTATTTAAATAAAATTTCCATTACGTACCATTTTATAGAATATGTGTACATACGCACGTACGTACGTACCAGGTGATTTAATGCTAGATTAAGATTTTTCATTTGTTATTTCTCAAAAGTAGTTAGGCTCAATGACAATTTGCTCTAATTTTCTTAGTAGCTAAAAAAGATCTCATCGAATGCATGTGGATGCATGTTCGATCCTCGTGTGGAGTGACACGAGCGTTAAGTATATAGTTCCAGAATTTTCTAATGAAAACAACCTAACGCCAAACTTGTTTAAAAAATCAGGGATTTGTTTATATAAGGTTACCTAATTACTTACAAAAGATTTGCGTTTAAATTTTCAATTTCGGCGTTTTGCTTTCTATCCAATTGTTTGATGAAATCTATTGTTATCCTGATTTGACATAAAAATAATAATTCTATTGTACATATAATTGACGAAACTTTTGATTGAAAAAAAACTTTTGGTAGTATATATTGACGGAACTTTTGATAGTGTACGATAGTTAGTATTTTTGATATTTTGCAAATTAAACCCATGTTAAGGTTAGTAATTATGAACAAACTAAATTGTCTAATTGTCTTGGTGAATTGATACTTTACAAGTCATATATGTCTATCAATCTATAAGTATTTAATCTTTATGGCGTTAGCACTTATTTCATATTTTTCTTTTTCAATTCGAATCTTTATTATGAAATTAGCAATTTTATTTGATAAATTCATATTTTCAAAAAAAAGGACACACATAACAATGGTTATTATTGCAAAAAAAAAAATTGATCCTATGACAATCTCTAATTTTATTTAATTGTATTTTTGATCCCCTATTCGTATTATTCCGTATTGAAGAAATGGAAAAGAAACTTACTATAATGACAAAAGGTGCAGATTTTAAGAATTTAACAAAAAATACCAAGGCTACTTCTGCAGAAGCAAAGGTAGTGGGTTTATCAAATGGGAATGCGAAGAGTAACGCCTCCTCATCACGTTCTAGTCCAATTATTGGTTCGAAACGTTTGAGTGATTCTCCGGTGCCATTAAATGATGATCCAACAGTTAATACTTCAGTAACAGTCACCAAAGAGGATTCTAAAAAAGCTACAAAAACTTCAAGTACTACGAAATCCATAGTGACAAAATCACCACAGAACACACTTTCATCAAGAAGAACATCACGGGTTATGTCTGTAATTCCTGATGCATCAAAAACATCGTCTACATCGCCCTTCAAGTCGCGCACTTTACCATTACCTACACAAAACGGATTGAAAGTTAACTCATCAATTCCAGAACCTTTTACTTCAGATCCAATCTCAATGATTTTTGAAGATAAAACAAAAAGGATATCTTCATCAAATACATCTTTAGAGGTGGATGGAGTTTCTCCAACTAATCGTTTTGCGTCAACAAACGTTCATGGTAGATCTTCACCTGCCTTAAAGTCAGTTAATGTCAAAAATACAATTGCCACATTAGAAAAAAAAGTGACACGAAATGATAGCTTGTCAGCAACAAGTAGCGAGATTTCGCCAACTACAACAAATTTTACAGTCACCACTGATACAAATTTAGAAGATATGGACATGGAACAATTAGAACAATTATTCCTTAATGGAACACGATCCCCATCGATCGTATCAAATTATTCATCAAATGCTCCCTGGAAGTCGGATATTCCTCTCGATATTCCTCTCGAGTTATCTGATGTATCATGGAAAAGTGATGATAATACTTATGGTAATACTCAGCTGACTTCAGCAGTAACGGACTATCATTTTACTGATCCAGATGAACAGGTTACTATCTTTTAATAAACCTGAAATATTTTATAAAGTGTATGGATGATTTATTCGAACATGACATTTACTTTATCATTATTTTGCAAAATAGTTACGAACGGGTTTGTCTATGATACAGGAAGCTTATAATCGCAAATCTTTATCAGCTTCCGTTAGTTTATGGGATGGAGAAAAAGTAAAGGTAATGATAAATTAAAAATACAATCATTATAAGTTTCAATGTTTATACCAGTGTAGGAAATCTGTTTAGAGATTTATATTCTCGTGAGAACAATCTTTCCGGAATTTTTTGGAGCTTTATTCAATTTCTAACTGGCAACTCCACCCAGTATTATACATTTATACTCATTATAACGAACATATTTTCAAGCAATATGTTCTTAAATTTTTTTAACAGTTATCCTCAAATCTGAATGTATGTTCTCATGAGAACATGAGAACATAAGATTTCCAACACTGAGTTTTTACATTTGTTAAAGTGTTTATAATCTCTTTATGCACAACGCATAGCAAAATAAAAATAAAAATGAAATCGCTCAACTTAATAAAAAAATTCGTGAATTGAGTGAGGCACTTATCAAGGAAGAGGGAGAAAAGAATACGTTGTTAGTTTCAAAGAATACAATAACAGATCGATATAATAAATTATGGAATGAGGTACTTATTACTTTATTACTCTTGTAATTATTATAAATTTTTACATAATTGATATAATTTCTTTCTAATTTAGCATCGAAATTGTACAAATAAATCAACTGGTGTGGGAACTAGTAATAGTATAATTACAGTTATTAATAGTGGTAAACAAGAAATACGAAATTATCTAAAAACTCTTGAACATGAAGAGAGACAAGCATTGTATGTTGCATTTAGTAACTAAATATTTATCATTGATCATTAATCATCATATATTAAATATACGGATTATGATATTACAGATTGGCAGAATTTCTTGAATGCTGTCATCCCCATGATATTCACACTCAACAAGCAATATTAGAACATTATGCAAAGAAAACTTTCGACGTAGTTGGATCCCTTCCAAATGAACTAGCTACTAAAATTCTTTCGATATTATCAGCAGAAAATCTTTGTTGTGCTAGAGAAGTATCAAGACGTTGGCGAGAAATGATTAATGAACCTGATCTTTGGAAAGCAAAATGTTTATCAGCTACTCAAGATGATCCCGTTCCTCTTGCATATCCTTCTGATCCTAAACAATGGGAAGAGATTTATCGCGGTCTTCATTATCGTGAACACAATTGGGTTCTCGGTAATGTGCAATCTGTTAAGTTCCTTAAAGGACATACCGCAAATGTTACAGCATTGAAATTGAAAAAGACCACTTTAGTTACTGGAAGTTATGATGAGACTGTACGAATTTGGGATGTAAGGAATGGTAGATGTATGAAAGTTTTACAGGGTAAAGCTATAAGTTGTGTTGATTTCATACTAGAGACGAGGATGGTTGCTGCTGGATTTAATGAGCAAGGGTATATACTCATAATTAATTAATTAATTGATTATATTTTGTCTTACATGCTTCCTAATAATTTTAAATATTTAAAGTAGGGCACATGTTTGGCACATGGATTCAGGTGAAGTATTGCTGACACTTACAGCACATAATCGCGGCATCAAGGAATTGTCAATGAATAAAAAATATATAGTAACGGCGGGCCATGATATGTCAGTCATTGTGTGGGATTTGAAAGAAGGGGCGAAACTGCATACCTTCAGGGGATTTGGTAATATGGTATGTGATATATTTGATATAGCGTTGTAAATTCATATATATATATATTTTCTTATGCTTATATAACTTATTTGTATGCTTATATAACTTATTTGATAGCTTCTTGGAATTCAGCTTTTGGGAGACAATAATCTGATAGCTATAAATAGTGATGGCTGGATTCGTACGTATGCACTTGAAGAAAAACTCCAAATCCACCAATACAAAATCCCAGATAATTCTCACATTCAATGGTTTTCTGCATTGGGAATGGATGTAACATGTTCAACAACCCGTACAATATATCAACTTCGATGGCAAAACAAATACATTAAAACGGGAAGAAAAACAAAAGGTATAGACGAAATTATAATTGAACCGGATTTATCTATGGATCCAGTGATAAAACGGAAAGTAACATCTGAAGCAGAAATATTTTGCGGAACAACTGATAATACTAAAGATAGAATTATTTTTAGCACAAGATTTAATAGCAGAATGCATAACAATAAAAGTATATATGTTTACTCACAAGAAAAAGGGATTAATAGATTTGGAGGGTTATGGGAAAATATGACTGATCAAATGACCACAAACAACATGGGACCTTTATGTATGGATGTGGATCATGAAAAAATCGTTATTGGATCAATTGGGGGAGTTGTTTATCTTTTGGGATTCGTTGGAGATAGAGAATGATTTTTTAATGGTTCTTGTTTCATTGTGAATGTAATTGTTATGAAGCAACACAGAAAATAAGGTATGAATTTTTTAAGAGTATTTGACATAACTTTTGTTTGTGAAACCTTTTATATCTGATCGTTGTTTCAAACATAATCGTAATTTTTACATGATTTTTTGAATTTATAAATCTCTTAATATATAATTAAAAGTGACTTAATAATACTATAATTTTTCAAAAACATTTTTGAGAATGTTTTATCAATTTGTTTTTGAGATTTTTTCAACATATAACGATAATTCTAATAGCCATTACTGTATTTGACTTTTTTTTAAAACTTTTATTAAATATTATTAATCAATAAAATAAATGATGAGGTTACCTAAGAATTCTGTAATCAACAAAATTAAAAAATTTCTCTTAATTTTGGTATAAGTTTTATTTAAATCTAGGCTGATGTCGATTAATCCAGACTAAATGATTGGCAAATTACAAAATACGAGTGACACTTGGTATAAGAAAGTTGCCAGGTCCAGTTAAAATCTTTCTTATATCGAGATTTTCTCAATTGAGACTTACAAACCCTTTTTTATATCGAGTAACTTGTAGTATAACTGAATATGAATAGACTATATTAGCTATGTATGTACTGTATTGTTAAAGTTTAAAAATTCTTCTAAAACCTTTGCCTAATTAAGATCACAACTTATTTAAACAGGGTTGACATTAATAATTCTACCCAACCCTGTTTTTTAGGCTTTGACATTACTGTGGCGGTCAAGTCACTTTTTATCAAAAATCATGTTTTTTAAAAAAAATTTATAAAAAATTTAAGTTTTAAATATTTTTTTAAAAAAATATAACTAATAAAAACTATTGTTTTTTTTATAAGTTCTATTCAAGTTATTAGGATTTTAAGCAAATTTTAAGATTTAATGTTATAAATGTTTATAGTTACTATGCTTTTAAAATTTTGACATTTAATATAAATTAAAAAAAATTCGTTTTTTTTTATTCAATTGAAATTAGTATATAATATATTTTGATTAGCTAAGAAGTATTTATATATAACTCAAATTTAATACATTTATACAAAGTAACTTGATACATTATATATAGTTTGAAAATTTTTTATATATTTTGAACTCAAATCCAAATTCAAATATATATCTTAAATCCAAATTTGTATTTTATTGTTAATTTTTTTTAAATTTAGTCTTGTTGGATCTAGAAATTTTTTATTTAGTATTAGAATATAAAAATTTCAAAAAACCTTTTTATATTAGAGAGTACAACTAGTCATATATACATTTTTGCTATTTAATTTATGTAGTCTGCTTATATTATAGGTTTTACATTATATGTTATATCTGCAACTCAATTATAGATATTGTTTATTTAAACCTTTTGTAATATAGTTATATTCTGTATTATTATAACATCTTCTAGCATATATGTTAGTTAAGAAATTACAAATACTAATTTATATCTTTAAAACAACAAATACATATTTTCAAAGCATTGTTATTAAAGTTTTTGTAGTTAATTTTTATAGCTAATTTAGTTTTTAATTTTTATAAAGTTTATATATTTTAGTATCTTCTTTTATAATCTTACTAATATCTTATTTATTTTTACAAGTTTTTTATACTTCTAATTTAGTTAGTTATGCATAATACAACTTTATATCTAAATTAACTAGTAGCCAAGTTAGTAATAGTTCTTATTTAAAGGTTTTTGTCTGTATAAATTATTTGCCTTAAATTTTTTTTTAGATTTTTACAAGTAATATTATTGAAGATTGTACTACTTCTCTATTAGAATTTTTGAGCAGATCTTTTATTATAGTATATATTTTTTAGATTTATTTGTATAATATTGTATACTTTTAAAGTTAATTTTAGTACAACTAAAATTATAAGATTATAATATCTAAATATTTTTTTAAGTTACTAAATAAGATTGTTTTTTAAAATTTGATTATTAGTAAAATTTGAACTCTGGACTTACTGTTTAAAGAATAACAATTTAACTATTATATTAGAATTATCATTTTTTTATTTATTTATTTATTTATATAATATTATAGTAGAAACTTTAAGATACAATAAAAAATTTAATTATAGAAAAAAATTTCTAAAATAAAGATTTCTAAACTATATTTGTGTTGCTAAATTAGACATCCAATATGACATTATACCTCCTATTTCCTAATGAGTGCTATAGATAATTGTTTTAAATTATTTTTTAACTAAAATAAGTTGGAGAAAACCTTATTATCATTCTTATATTTTATTATTTTTTTTTTTTTTTTTTTTTTTTTTTTCCTTAGGCAGCCTTGCCGGTCACCTTTTTTTTGTTTTTTTTTACATATTATACATAATTTTAGTGTATTTTTAGTTT